ATAACAGAAGATTTCTTTTTCCTATATATATATCACTTGTCTGTAAAAAAAATCAAATTTGTTCAGTCCTGGTAAAAACAAACAAACAAATCAATTAAAAGTTACCAGAAGCAACAGAATAAATATCTGAATTTTGATCAAATAAACCAACTTTATATCCCTTCCCTTTTCTTATAACAATCTTGATCTTTAAACCCTTTAATTAATGTCCCAGACTTTGATTTTTTCCCTATTTCATTTCCTATTTGTTTCTTCTCAGAAGCTCCTTCAAAACTTTAATACAACCCTTTTGTTGACCCAAAAGAGAAAAGTCATCCAAGTCACCCCTCTCATTTGTTATTTATATATTGTTTTAATCATTATGATATCAACTGGTTTCATTTGAAAAATCCAGTGTAGAGTATATTTTTCATATCATTCTTGTAACCTGTCATTTTTAAATCCACATTTAAATCATCCTCAGTCTCAATCTTGTCCAGTAAAATCTAAACTTCTCTAAAACTGCCTTTAAATAATTATTTATGATAGCAGACAATATTAAGATAATCTTAGTGCATTTTTCCACACATCCTTATTTTTTTAAAAAAAATAAAAGTATATTTCTCCATTTTGTATTAATGTGTCTCTTCTTTTTTAATTATAAACTTTAGTTCTTTTTGGTACCCTCGTTGATCTTCACAATCCCATCTTATCATTTTTTCCCCTAATCAACAGCATTTTCCCATGGGAAGTTTTCTTAAGCTTCTTTTCAAAATATTCATATGTTTTAATATAATACTAAACAACTCACAGGAGTTGTAAAGTTATATTTTACAGATAAGATAGATAGTAGTTTCCTGAAATCCTTAAATAAATGTCAAATTTAAAACTTATAGCAGGGGAAAAAAACCTGGTATAATGATGTTTACATTATTTAGTCATTTTACTTCATTCCTCTTTTATTGTTGATATCAATGCCTTAACATGATATAATTTGTTTTACTGTGTATAGTACAGAACAGTAGCAAAATACCAGCATCTTGGTTAATAGTACACACCTGGAATGTTAATCATGTTTACTATGCCAAGAATGCAACTTCTTTCATATTGCAATCCAGTATATAATAAACAATAGTTGTAATTTGCTACATGGATAGAAATCATAACATCTTTTTACTAGGTTTCTTATCTATGATGACAAAATAAAATTTCTATAAGGACAAAACTTTTAGTTAAAATGCTTTAACTAAATGATGCATTTTGTACTAATTGAAGCTCTGAATTATCTCATTAAAAAAAAAAGATAGCCTCAGACTGAGAATATTGCAACGATCTACAGCAGATGGAACTAGTAGACTGAAGAATATGCTTTACACCTTTGCAAGCAATGTCATTTGCTTTACCAAAGAGTAGAAATGACAGGATTTTATTTATTTGTCACATTTTTGTATAGTTTCCCATCCCACAAAATACAGCATAGACATCAAATATGAAAACAAGAAGTATAAAAACTACACACACGCACACACAGACACACACACAAATACTCAAACTAATTAGCTTCAATGAAGTGCTTTGCATTATTTTGATGCTTTATCTAAGTGGCCAGAAAAAGTTATTGTTCATGTGCTGAAGCTTCTTCTAGCATTTGTGGATGAGACCCAGAAGCAATACAAAACAAAGCAATGGAGCTGTTTTGCTTTCATAGAGGTTAAGAGTGAGGGTGAGCTGACTTGCAAAGCTTTCACAGTCCTTTATCAAAATGGAGCACTCCATTCAAAGCTCCACTTAGCCAGACAATGAAACAAGCTCCTTGGCTTCAGAGGGTATTGGAGGGCGGATCATGATGAATACAGGAGGATCTGTGATGTTGCTTTTTTAAAAATCAGGGGGACTGTGCAGGACGGCTCTATAGTTTTTTTTCCAGACTAGCAAATGTCACCACTCATATTTACAAGCTTTCACCAATCTTGTTCAACTTCATATAGCCTCTTATTGACGTTTAAGATATCCCTGTATACTGGTTACAATAACTCCATGAAGATCTTAGAAAGCAAAGAGACTAAGGCAGAAAGCCACCAAAAAAGCAAATACAGGGCAATGAAGTGAAACAAAAATATTAAAAAATATGTGCTGCGTTCACTCCTTCAGGAAGATTGAAATAGTCCCTTTCCTTCTCAGTTTGTTCTATATTCAGTTTGGATGCTATCTGATTCCAGATTGGGCAGTTCAGGTCAATAAAAGAACATAAAAACAACAGAATTTATAACATTAACCAAACAAGTACAAAAATAATTGCAAAATATTCACCAGGTAGCCATCCAAGAGGGAAGTAAACTTAAAACATGACAAACAGAGGAGTCTTCTCCAGACTATCTCAAGGCAGGTTTTGAAGGCCTTCCAGAATATCACCAGGATAGAAGCTATATGGACCTAAGGGGGACTTCATTCCAGAGAAGGTGGATTTTCTTGGATCCCAAAATATGGCACTGTTAAACCAAGGGAATCCAATATTCACCAATTCTACCAGATCACAGCAGATGCAGAAACCACTGAAGATAGGCGGCCCCACAAATAGCCTGGCCCTAGGTCATGTAGGGTTTAATATGTGGTAATTGGCATATAAGAGCCAGTGGTTAGAGTGGTTAGAATGCAGTATTGCAGGCTACTTCTACTGGCTGCCAGCAGTTTGGCAGATGGAAACTCACCAGGCTCAAGGTTGACTCAGCCTTCTATCCTTCCGAGGTCAGTAAAATTAGGACCCAGATTCTTGGGGGCAATATGCTAACTCTGTAAACAGTTTAGAGAGGGCTGTAAAAGCACTATGAAGCGGTATATATGTCTAAGTGCTACTGCTATTGCTATATTTGACAGCACTGAGGAGTATACTGGCAACCACAGATAAATATGTTACATAGGTGGGCCAAAGTAAGCTTATCATTGCTTGCATTACTTTATTCTGGCAGTTAAGGATACCACACAGATCTGAATTAACCACATTTGCATTACTATATTGATCAGAACATAGTTATCTTTCCAGATTCTTCACTGTTCAGATATAATTCTTGACCCAAAAATTGCATGCAAAACATATACTGTATATGGCAAAATTCACATTAAAATGCATGAGCTAGAGAAAATGTTTATAAAATATGTATTTTAAGATTACTTTGTTTTCTTTCCTAATCTGAATTATATCCAGTTTACCCTCTGGATACCAAGATATGCAGCATTATCTTCTTCATTTTATCTCCATGCTCAACAAACCTGTGCTCAGGGAATGACTGGTCCAAAGATATCCATTGAGCTTCCATGGTGGAAGCTGGCCTTAAATGTGGGATTCTTCAACCCTTAATGAAAATTCCAGTCCTGTAATACACATTTAATGATTTCCGAATACTGATTTTACTGAAGGACTTTTAACTAATTTCAATAAGTACTTCCATTTTTTATTATCATTTCACATGTTTTCTTGGCTTTCCAATGCTTTATGCTAGCTTTACATTTTGATCATTAGGAGTAATATTGATCAGTCTTTCCATTATGTTGACAGAGTGGCAGTTCAAAAGTAAAGAGCAAGATTGTAAATCTGGAATGGCATTGTCTTTCCATCTTAAAGAATTATCTTGTTTGCTATATCCAAGCATATTATCTATACAATGATGGGATCCATATTTTTGTTATATAATTCAGAATCACGCCCTTTAAACTATATTGTTTTTTCCAAGCTTTCAATTTTTTTCAAAAAGAAAAAGATTCTGGATAAGATAAAGTAAGAAGAGAGGATAAAAACTTGAAGAGATGCAAGTTTTACCTACAAAAGACAAAAAAAATCTCATGGGCCAGGACTCACATTGTCTATGCCCGTGATAGTGAACCTATGGCAAGCGTTGCCCTAGCTCAGCTCCAGCACGCATGTGTGCACCAGCCAGCTGGTTTTCAGGTGTTCTGGGCCCACCAGAAGTCAGGAAACGGGCTGTTTCTGGCCTCCAGAGGACCTCCAGGGTGTGGGGAAGGCTGTTTTCACCCTCCCCAGGCTCCAAAAAAAGCCTCTGGAGCCTGGGGAGGGTGAAAAACAGGCCTACTGGGCCCACCAGTAATCGTTTTGCCATTGTGTGCCAAAAGCAGGGGGAGCATGGGGGGGTCACGTGTGCATGTGCGGGGGGGGCAGGGCATGGGGAGGAATTGAATTATGGGTGTGGGTATGCGCATGCGCAACCCCCCCACACTCCCCCTGCTTTTGGCATGCAACGGCAAAAAGGTTAGCCATCACTGCTCTATGCTGAGGAAGAGAGTCCAGCAGAATCTGTGCAATGACAACCTCAGGAGACATAAACTAATAATCACCTAAGGCTAATTAAACATAGGCACCTTCTGAACAGAGCAAAGGCATTCTATGAAGCTTCTTGCCAAGCAAGGGAATAAATCCCTTGATTAAAGGCAGTTGACTACAGTCTAATTTAAGAGGCAGCATTGGCCAATGATCCCGTATTAGTATTAACTGTTGGATCTTCAGTTCTTTTGTAATTCTGCATATATGTATTTGGTTCAAGAAATTTTGATGTCTGGGCTAGCTGACATCCCTGACCTGGATTTTGGAACTCTGGACTGGATTTTGACTATTCTTCTGCACATTCACACTAAAAGTAAAACCATTCAGGGAAGCTTCTTTCAGAGACTAATTCTTTTAAAGAAAGATCGAGGGAACTAAATAAGATTCAAGAAAACACAGAAAAGATTGCACTTTTCAAATACACAAATCACACCCAATTAATCAGGTCTGTTCTCTATCATCATGCAGTGCAGGGACAGAATATTGATTTTAAGTTGTACAAAAGCATACTCTGATTAAATATTAGAAACAAAATATGTGCCAGCAGGTAAAGTGTTAGGATTTGATGGATCTAGCCCAATAATACTCCAGACAGAGTAATATCCTTTAAGAATTCTTTATTGGAGGCCTGGATTATTCCTAGGCCCATTCATCTAGCAGCAACTGACCTTTTATCCTTCTCTTGCAGGTATACATCTGGAACTGCTGGAAGGCCTCGTGGTGAGACCTCTTATACCCAGGGGGAAGAGTCAGAGGTAAGGTGGGGTGATGGGGTGTGTGGTTGTGTTAACCCTTGCAGGACTATGAGGGGTTGTGACATGAGTGAGTTAACATTTAACCTGACAAAAAGAATATTTGACAGAGGAAAAGTATTCATATTCCCTTTACTGGATGTTTTCTGAGATCAGAGTTGCTTTAAGTTGGATTTCTCTACTGAGCTGAGGTGGAATCAACAGCACAGAGAATAAATGCTCTGCAAAGCATCGGGGTGGCTGTGACCTCCTGAGGGCTCAGTGTATTTTGTTCTCAAACAAAAATCACTATAATACACGATAGCCCTCAATGAATGCACTACTTGTCTATGCTTCCACATCTGCCTGCCCTTTTAAACTTAAATTTCTTGGGCTATCACCCAACTCCTCAGGGGCATATTGAACTGTGTAACTGAACAAATAAACAAACGTGTTTACTGTCAAAACCACCAGCATAGAACACTTTATTATAAACATGATACAGAACTGAGATAAACTCAGAAAAAAACACACACCGCCTACTTATAGACGCTAAAGGGAGCTAAAGTTCTTTAAAAATGGCAGAGGTAACTAATTTTAATCCAAGAAGACTTTCATGATGATGTCTTCCCTTGGGATTTTGTTGCAACAATCAAGGGAATTGGATAGTGCTGGAAGGATGATTACTTATTAAGGTACTAGACTCTTCTGCGTATAATAGGTTTCAGTCTTCTTGGAGAAATGGAACTCTAACCATAAAATTTTACTGACAAGTTCTCTCTCTCTTTGGAAAAACAATGACAGTTGATTTCTATCAAGTTAAATGAGACTGTTTAATTAAATTTAGAAGAAAATCTGACACAGCAATAGGTGTTCCCCTTGTGTAAAGTTTCTTCAAAACTGACATGACTCTGGAAGCTCCCTTCAGGTAAATGTGATAGATCAGTACAGCTTCTATAGATCTCTAGATCAAAAGCAGATCACATTTGAATTGCTAGAACATTAATGTTTTGAAAACCTCTTAGATTCAGGATGAATGAGCGCTTCTTTTTCTGACTATTTTTCCCAAACTTATTTTACGAACATGTCCCCTACCTGCTCCAGGAACAGCTTGATCATTAGATCATCCTGTGATGTCAACTTGAATCTGAAATCTTTACTTATCATGAGGGGACTGATTTAAAGAGAGAGATGGGAAAAAAAGATTAACGTTTTATCTTATTCTCTCATCCAATTAAAGGTTCATTCTCTTTTCTTGAAATGAAATCTTGGAATTTGATTTTTCTTTCTAAAGAAAACCTAGTAATTCTGAAAATAAAAATGAATTGAAATTGAGCAAATCTGTTTAACCCACAAAGTGCTGTAAACAACCATCCATGGGTGTTATTCTTTTGGGGAAAAAAGCCTTTCCCATCTTTTTTCAGTCCCAGCAAGTTAAAATAAACAACAATACCAGGAAAGTTATATCTGTAAGTCTCAAAGGTCCACCAGATCCTCAAACTGTGCCCCATCCAAATGAAACAAAAGATTTTATGAGAATTCACCAATTTTGAGGCGTCCGTTCTTCATGTATTATAAAAAGGTGTGCAATGATGCCAGACAACCTAGAACACTGTCAACTCATAATATATGATTGGTAGTCTTTGCCTGTTTTCATGGATTACAAGTTATTGTTCTGACCTAGAGTATCAGCCTGGATTGATTTTTTAATGGTTCTCTTGTGATGAAATAGTCCTTTGAATGAACATTTGAATGTGTGCATTTGGAAATCCAGTTTCAAGGAGAATGCAATCCTTAAAATGGACATACGGTAGCCTAAAGTCTACAGTTTGGCTTGGGCTAGGCTCTTGAAAGATCTGATAGACCCTTTTATCCTCACTTTTCTTTCCTTTTATGTACACTGAGAGCATATCACCAAGACAAATTCCTTGTGTGTCCAATCACACTTGGCCAATAAAGAATTCTATCTATCTTCTATCTTTTCTATGTAGATTGGAGACTGGTATACTGATAATCCTCTCTGTCTTTCAATTTCCCCCCTACACAAGTAAAATCAAATATAAATTCCATTGTTAGAAACGGTAAGGTTGGGATCCAGTTCACAGGTTGCTGAATTTGGCTACAATATCCATGTTACAAAATTTCTTATCTGCTGGATCAACCTCCACCAGAGCCAGTTCATTCATGAACTGAGTAATAACAGGCAAGATATAATCATACTTACTTTCTATATTGTGTTGCAGATTATCTATTCTGCATAATGGTAGATATTGATGGACAGTTTCCCAACATACAAACTAAGAAAAGCTTTAAAGCATCAAAGCACTGGAATATCTCTTTCTTTTATAATTTTGGTGACCTCTAATAGAGATCTTGACCTCTCAATATCTTTCAAATCTATACTCTGGACCTTCTAGTTCTGATATCTGTTTCTATGCTTAAGTGTTGTTGCTGAAACTTTCTTAAATATGTAACTGTTTGATGGACAATTGAATGTCAATGAAATAAACTTTTCCATTTCCCTTATATTGCTTGCTGGTTCTTCATTAAATTGTAAACTATCACTTCAGTTTACACTCCTTTTCATCCATCTTTCTATTTTTGGTTGTATAAATTCATATTCAGCCTGCATCATAAAAATCCCTTAACAGAGTTTTTTTTTCCCATTTGAATGGTATCAGCCTTCTCAATCAAGAATAGTCCAACACACATCAGATTGTTTTGCATTAGGAATATGTAGTTTCGATTTAGATAGCCCGTTGTATCCTAAATTGTTCTGAATGAATAGGGGGAGGAGCCTAACCTGTCAGTCAAGCAAATTGCATTTACAGAAGCACCTCTCAGTTTTATTATATTATTTTTAGTACTTTTTCTGGACTTATTTTGTTTGATTTAAATGAATAATTAATCAAGGAGAGAAGCAACTTAGAACTAAGGAGAAATTTCCTGACTGAACAATTAATCAGTGGAACAACTTGCCTCCAGAAGCTGTGGATGCTCCAACGCTGGAAGTTTTTAAGAAGAGGTTGGATAATCATTTGGCTGAAGTGATGTAGGGTTTCCTGCCTAAGCAGGGGGCTGGACTAGAAGACCTCCAAGGTCCCTTCCAACTCTGTTATTCTATTCTATTGAAACTGAGCTGATTTGATTCAATGAGTTGGTACATTTTGTATTTATGCAAAAAGATCAATTTTTAAATCAACCTGATGAGTTCAATCCAAAGCCATTCCTGATCTGACATTTCAAACTAAGTTACTTTGATATTTCAAATTCCAACAAAACTTGGAATGAGTCAACCTTTTGAATGAAACTGACCAGATTGAATCTGCAGACTCCCATTCCACACTGGAGGGTTGAACCAATTCCCTGTGTGGGTTCCTTGTGGGTTCTGCAATCAGCCAAAGATTCCAGTCAGCACATTTAATATTTAATCATTTTTATGAGAAGATGGAAGGGTACCTAGCAGGGGTGAAATCCAAAATTTTTCCCTAGCGGTTCTGTGGGCGTGGCTTGGCGGGCATGGCAGGGGAAGGATATTGCAAAATTTTCATTCCCACCCCACTCCAGGGGAAGGATACTGCAAAATCTCCATTCCCTCCCCTCCTGGGAGAAGGATATTGCAAAATCTCCATTCCCACCCCACTCTGGGGCCATCCAGAGGTGATATTTGCCGGTTCTCCGAACTACTCAAATTTTCCACTACCTGTTCTCTAGAACTTGTTAGAACCTGCTGGATTTCACCCCTGGTACCTAGCCTCTGCTTATGTGAAAATGAATTATTGGATTTTCATTTTCCAAAAGGCAGCAATGAAAGCTGCTTCTTCTTCTTCTTCTTCTTCTTCTTCTTCTTCTTCTTCTTCTTCTTCTTCTTCTTCTTCTTCTTCTTCTTCTTCTTCTTCTTCTTCTTCTTCTTCTTCTTCTTCTTCTTCTTCTTCTTCTTTCTTCTTCTTCTTCTTCTTCTTCTTCTTCTTTTCTTCTTCTTCTTCTTCTTCTTCTTCTTCTTCTTCTTCTTCTTCTTATTTGCTGCAGGCATTTAAGCAGCAAATACCTAAACAAATGTCATGATTACAGAGTATCAATATTGTACTATTACAATTTCACTGTAATACTAACTAGATTACAGAGTGATTACCTAGCACTTTTTTTTTTTAATCAAATGGGAAGTGGGGGAGGGAGAGGGAGGAATCAGTTTAAGAGTTTTGGTGATTTGGCTGGAATGAGACTCCTTTGAAGAGCCAGATCCCCTTACCTGCCACTAGAGGGCATGATGGTCCCAGTAAATGGTGAAATAAAAGTTCATATTGTTACACCAATTGAATTAGCTGTACTGTATTTTTCAGGGCTGGGAAGAACATTTGGCTTCATTTAAGAAAAAAACGGAGTATTGTAAACCTTTTACAAATCAAAATAGAGGCAGTCTTACATAATGGCATGATTCTCAGACACTGTGATGCTTCTACTTTGACATGTTTTTAGTCTGCGGTCCTTGCAACCATAGGTAGTCCTCAACTAACAACAGTTCATTTAGTGACCGACGGCACTAAAAAAAAGTGACTTACGAACATTTTTCACACTTACGACTGCTGCGGCATCCCCACGGTCACGTGATCAAAATTTGGATGCTTGGCCACTGACTCCTATTTATGACGGTTGCAGTGTCCCGGGGTTACGTGATTTGGGACTTCTTGATAAGCAAAGTCAATGAGGAAGCCAGATTCACTTAACAACCGTGTTACTAACTTAACAACTTCAGGGATTCACTTAACAGCTGTGGCAAGAAAGGTCGTAAAATGGGGCAAAATTCATTTAGTAACTGTCTCAGCAAGAGAATTTTTGGGTCCAATTGTGGCTGAAAATCAAGAAATACCTGTATTGTCTTTGGAATTCATAGGATGGGACGGGAGTTATTTTTGAGTAGATATGTCAAGGACAGAGGTGTAACAGCTCTTCTATCACTGCCAAAATATGCTAAAGTCGTTTACTCTGAAATCAATGCACTTGCCTTGTTCAAAAGTGAAGAGATT